ACTTACAGGACACAAATTACGACGGAACTCTGTGTCACAGCATCTAGTACAGATCTGGAGACAAACGGTACATGTTAGTTGTACCCAGAATGAGTATCGGCTCTACTATTGTTCCTGGCAGTAATGGAAATACTCTAGTGATCCCAGATCGCAGGGGGAGAGGTTCTGGAGAGGTAAGGATAATTTTAATTTTACTTAGGTTTTCGTAAGGATTTTATTCGGTATTTATATTGGTATTTATATAATGTCAATTATTTATTGCAGTTTGCACAACTTTTCCCAAAATGGACTTTAAGATGCTGCTTACTCTTAGGTAGCCTACATTTTAATCTTTTATTTGAAAGAATAAACTGTATTTTATATTATTTTAAACAAGCCCTGCTGGTGTCCAAAATCACACTCTGAGTGTTGCATAGTTTTTGTGCATAGTTTATTATTATTATTATTATTAAATTTTATTTTTTTGTTGAGACAAGAGCTGTCTGTCGCTTCGTTTTTTTTGAAGCAACATGAAGTGTGCAAATATATGTATTTTTCCGATTAATAAAAATGATTTTTTTTTCAATTCCAACCATAAAACATATTTTAAGAAATGTTTAAGGTTCTGCAAATTGAAAGATACTGTAAACGCTAACGCTGGAGGTGACTCGAAAGGTCCAATGCTCCACTCGATGTCAGTGTTGCTCTAATTTTTGTTTTCAAGTTTTAAGTCCAGCCCAGGATAATGACGCGCAGACGTGTATTGTCTTCGTTATCCTGGATGGTACGATCCGAAAAGGCGTTTAAGTATGTGATCTGTTCTCTGTATGTTTTCAGTTAAATTGTATTGCATTATGCAGATAAATTGTACGTTATACTGTTGTTTGTAATCGCCGAGGATACATTTCTGGCAGTCTCACAGTAATCGTTCCATCATGGTAGCCGGAGGACAAAGGCACAAATGGGAGTGTTGGTGGATTGCTTTGTGTTTCTCTTTGCTTCTGTGTGTTGGACAGCAAGTTTCAGCGCAGATAAGATATTCTATTCCAGAAGAATTGAAAGAAGGATCCATTGTAGGACATATTGCTAAGGATCTTGGCCTCGATGTCAGCATTTTAGTAAACAGGAGGTTCCGTATCGTTTCTGGATCAAAGGACGCTCTTTTTGAGGTAAATCAAAACAATGGCGTCTTATATGTCCATAAGAAAATCGACAGAGAGGAGCTGTGTGATGGAAATGGCGCATGCTTGATTAATCTGAAAATGGTGGTCGAAGATCCTTTAGAGATACACTATGTTGGAGTGGAGGTAACTGATGTTAATGATAATTCACCCACATTTACAGAAGAGGAGCAGCATTTTGAAATTGCAGAACACACACCCACAGGGACGCGTTTCCAAATACAGGCAGCACGAGATTCTGATACGATTGTGAATAATGTTCGGTCGTATAAACTGAGTCATAATGAGCATTTCGAAGTTGAGACAAAGGATAGAGATGAGGAAAAAATACCGCTTTTAGTTTTAAAGAAAGCTCTTGATCGTGAAAACGCCGCAGAACATAAATTAATACTAACTGCAATCGATGGTGGAAATCCACCACGGTCAGGAAATCTTAACATAATTGTTACTGTTCTTGATGTTAATGATAACCGTCCCGTGTTTAGTCAAGACTCCTATTCTGTAGCAGTAAAAGAAAATGCTGCACTCGGAACTGTGTTGATAAAACTTAACGCAACTGATTTGGACGAGGGTTCAAATGGTGTTGTAGAATATGCCTTTGGAAGAAACCTGAAGCGCAAAGTTTACGAGCTCTTTAAACTGGATAGTGCCACAGGAGAAATTCATATTAAAGGTGAACTGGACTTTGAGGAAACGGAGGTGTACAAATTAGACGTACAGGCATCTGATAAAGGCCAGCCTCCGTGGATCGTTGAATCTGTCGTTACTATTAAGATAATAGACATAAATGACAACGCCCCTGAAATAGACGTAACTTCTCTTTCCAGTGTTGTTTCTGAGGATTCTAAACCTGGCACTGTAATTTCATTAATTAGCATCAGTGACAAAGACTCTGGTATAAATGGGAAGATAGTACCAAGTGTTTCTGATAATGTTCCTTTTGAGCTGAAACCATCAGTTCAAGAGAATATTTATTCCCTTGTAACGAAGGGAAAATTAGATCGAGAACTCGTGTCCCATTATGACATACCAATAATAGTCACTGATTTAGGACAGCCTCCTTTATCATCCTTTAAGTCTCTGAGCGTTCAGGTATCAGATGTTAACGATAACCGTCCTGAATTTTCTAAAGATCGGCTTGAATTATATTTAGTAGAAAATAACGCACCTGGTGCCCCCATAATGTCTGTGAGCGCATTTGATAAAGATTTAAATGAAAATGCAATGATTACTTACTATATGATTAGAGGGGACGCTGCACAAAATGATATAGCGACTTTCTTGAACATTAATTCTGAAACGGGAGTTATTTACGCCTTAAACCGCTTTGACTTTGAAGTAATTAGAAAGTTTCAGTTCCAAGTTCTTGCAAAGGATTCAGGATCTCCACCACTTAGCAGTAACGTGACAGTGAACGTGTTCATTTTGGATCAGAACGACAACGTTCCAGTGATCTTATATCCAGTCAGCGCTAACGGTTCTGCTGAGGGTGTGGAAGAGATTCCCCGTAATGTGAACGCAGGTCATTTGGTGACTAAAGTCAGAGCCTATGACGCAGATATAGGATACAACGGCTGGTTATTATTTTCACTGCAGGAAGTTAGTGACCACAGTCTCTTTGGTTTGGACCGCTATACAGGACAGATAAGGACCCTTCGCTCATTCACAGAAACAGACGAGGCCCAGCATAAACTGCTCATACTGGTCAAAGACAATGGGAACATTTCACTCTCAGCAACAGCGACTGTGATTGTCAAAGTTGTGGAGCCCAAAGAGGCTTTTGCAGCTTCTGATGTGAAAAACGCAGTAAAAGATGAGGAGGAAAGCAATGTGACATTTTATTTGATCATCACTTTGGGCTCGGTTTCAGTGCTTTTTGTCATCAGCATCATCGTGTTGATTGTAATGCAGTGCTCTAAATCGACAGACTATTCGTCCAAGTATTTACAGGATACAAATTACGACGGGACTATGTGTCACAGCATCCAGTACAGATCTGGAGACAAACGGTACATGTTAGTTCGACCCAGAATGAGTATCGGCTCTACTATAGTCCCTGGCAGTAATGGAAATACTCTAGTGATCCCAGATCGCAGGAGGAGAGATTCTGGAGAGGTAAGAAAATGATTTATGCATCTGTGTATTTGTTGTAGGAAACAATCTTAAGGCAGAAGCTGTCTGCTCTCTGTGGTACTGAACCTGCTCAGGCTGTTTTTTCTAATGGAACACTATTAGTGTCTGTCTTTCTTAGATTCAGATTTTATTTATTATTTAGACTTAGGATTTACATTACCAAAGCACAGGAATATAATAAACATAGCCAAAGAAGGAGGAAAGGGAAAAAAGGAAGTACTAATAAAATAAGTAGGAATAGAGCAGTTCGTTATTCTGTTTTCCTTTTATGCATTTTGCACAATAGTTGTATTGTTGTTCTTTTGTCAA